CCTGCGCTTCGGGGAGGGGACAGCCCCCCCGCCCCCGCGGGCTGGAGCAGGAGGCAGATGGGGGCTGTAGCACAGCCCCATCCCATATACCCAGAGACGTGCCTGCTGTGAGCGATGGGGGGGTGGGTGTGTCCCCCTCGGCGTGACATTTCCAGCCGGGTAATGCCCTCCTGGCTGGGACAGGAGCAGGGGAGATGGCTGCCAACACTGTGGGGCTGCCCTGTGTCCCCCCCTGCCCGCATCCCTCACAGAGGTCAGCATGGACACCACACACGTGTTGGGAAATGTTAACACTAGGGGTTTATTGTAGAACATTTGCAGGGGGGGAGGGGGGGTGTTGCTCTTTTTTTTTTTTTTAAATAAAGGTCACTTTTCCAATTGTGGTGCTTTGCTGGTCTCCCCCGAGGTCTGTTCCCACCAGCAAGGCAGTGGGGATGCCTGCAGGTCGCATCCTGGCAGATGCTGAGTGCATCCATCGCTGGCAAAGGTGAAGAAATGGTGGCAGACGGGAGAAATGGCGGCAGACGGGGCACCCGCTCCCACTGCGGCTCCCTCCCCCCACCCCGTGATGAGGGGCTGCGCAGAACGGGGGGGGCCAGGCAGCCCAGGGACAGCAGTGCTGCCTGCAGCCCCATGAAACCTGCTGGCAGCCCCAAGCCCGCAGCACCCTGCCTGCACTCCACTGCCCACAGCCCTCTTCACCCTGCCTACATCATCCTGCAGCCTGCTGCCAAAAGTTGCCTGCGCAGTTCAGCACACAGCAGCCCCAGGGCTGAGATCGCAGTCAGTCGGTGGGTCAGGATCAGCAGGGTCCACAGCACAGACGCGGCTGTGGCCGAGCCGGAGATCGCTGCACATACAATGAGCTCAGGAAAGGACTGAAGGGCATCACAGACTGAAAGATAGGGCAGGGAGGGACAGCAGCGGAGCGGAAGAGTTTTCTTGGGTAAATGCATTCAGCCTGTGCTGTCCTTAGCCCACGGCTGTGCAGGGCAAGGCACCGCTTTTCTTTTCACTGTGCTCTTGGCCAACAGCCCTGCTGCATCCACGCTCACGGAGGGAATAGAGGGAGAGGAGAGGATGCCGTGGATTTGCTCTGGATCAGCAAGTCTTTACAATAATGAGGTCTGTCCATGCTATTCCTGTTCCCCCTCCGCCTGGCTGGTGTTCCCTTAACACCGCTTTCTCCAGCTTCACCCCACCAGCAGCATCAAGCTGGACAAGCTCCAGAAGGTGCTGGCCAGCAGAAGCGCACGAGGTGACCCAAACGGGGCCAACACAGAAGCTCCTGGCCCCAAAGGTGTCAACAGGGCCGGGCTGGCCAAAGGCTCTATGCGCTGGAAAGGTCACAGTTGCAACACCCTGGAAACCACCACCCCTGGGATGCCAACCTTCAGACATCATGCTATTTTAGCTTTTCTTTGCCTTTCGGCAATCTCTCCTCCACTTTTATGTGGTTTTTGCTATCCTGGATCTCGCTGTGTTTGTCGATCTCCTCCTAAAACACCCTTCCTTTCCAAGGGAACAATCTGCAGGCATAGCACAACCCGTAGTAAAAAACATCGCTCAAAAGAGCTTTAAAGTACAGTGAAAGCCTCAATCCCTGCAGATGTGTAAATGCGGCAGGGTGACTGACTCTGGGTCAGACAGCTGGAGCAGAGGGATGAGTTTATCACATCCTGCTGTCCTGCCAAAGCCATCTAAACACGCTGGCTGCCAAGCTGCAGCCTGAGGAGCAACTTGCCCAGCCAGCAAAGCCACAGGCTGGGAGCAAAGTTTATACTTAAGAGCAAAAAACAAAACACAAAGCTGACTGGGGAAAAAAAAAACAAACAACCAACCCCAACATTCAGAGTTTCCAGTTCTGCCCTTTTCCCTCAGCCACTGGGGAAAATCAGCCCCAAATATTTAACAGGCAAGTCATGGATTGCAGCCCAAAAAACACACGTAGCTCTGCAACAGCCCAACGTGTGCTCCGTCCTCTGGCACGAGCGGCACTGGGTGCAGCCTCAGCTCAGCTGCATGGCCGTGCGGCTGCCCTGAGCCCCGCTGACGGGGAGAACTGAGGTTTCTCCATCCGGCTGTAAAGCTGCTGGGAGCCGTAGCCACCTCGGCCACCGTGCAGGGCAAGTGCTCGGCGACTTAAAGCACAACAGCCACGCACAGCGCAGTCTTCCTGTGCATTTGAGCAAAGTGCTTTTTTTGTTAAGTTTTTTTGTTTGGCGGTTTGGTGGGTTTTTTTAATCAAGTCGCTTAACATTCAGACTAAGGAGTAAATACACCCCAAAAAACCAAACCCAAAAGCCCTGTGTGTGGAGGAGCCATTCGTTTTTTGACAAGACAGACCTGGCCACCAAGCGGGAAGGTTGATCTCCAACGTCATGTTGAGCAGAAGCAAAGCCCCGGTCCTTGTGGATTTAACACCACGGAAAAGAGTCAAGGCAGAGGCCAATACAGATTAAACCAAGACTCGAGAACAAACACTTAAGCAAAAAAAATTTATTTAAGGAATACTTTCAATAACTTAAAACCAACCATGGCCTCACACCACCTTCCCCCTTACCCCAGCAGAGGCCTCTGCTTTTCAAGAGACGGGTCTTTCCAAGCAGAATAACCCCCCAAAGAAACAGCTATATCCTCACTTCAGCATTACGGATTCAAAGCAGGCAGCCTAGGAAGGATCTCCAGCTAAAGGACTTCAAAGCATGACAAACATGTTCCAACAATACTATGGCTGCGGGAAATATAATAACATAATGTAAATATAACCCTCCCCACCTCCTGCATGGATAGCAGAAGAGCCACTGGGTCCCACAAGACTATTAAGGCAAGGCCCAGCTTCATTACGAGCAAAGATCTTTGCTGAAGACTGTTCTTGCTCTTCCCAACACTACTCACGCTTGGCTGAGGCAGAGGATGCCCCAGAGAGAAAGGAAAAGAACACAACAAATCAGCTGAGTGATGAAGGAAGCATTGAACCAGAGAGGAGAGGGGCCTGCAAAGGACAGGAAAGGTCTAAGAAAAGGTCTACCAGGAGCCAGCCACTCCCTCCTACCCCCAAACAAAGGGGGAAACAACAAAAACAAAGGAAACATTTCAATGCCGTAGAACCTCACAGTTCCCAGTGGCACCCTCATCATCCTCACACGGGTGCTGCACGGAAACGACGCCCCATCAGAGCACAAAGCTACACGAAACTGCCAGGTGGGACGACCGTGTTTTAAGGCTGTTCAGGAAGGGGAAGCTGAACACCCAGTACGGCACCAGGATCTTGTCTCCCACCTAACCAGCACCAGTGCTGGTGGAAGATCTCCCTTCAGATAACCGAGAGCATGGGAAGGAAGAGAGCAGACGTCCTTTGGACAGCTCAGAAGCATGCTGAATCAGAGCCCTCCCACACTCCAAACCTCACAGCAGCCTGCTGAGCCACTGCGAAAGCTTCAGCCACAGGCATTCCCTGAATCTTCCCTGTAAATTAACAGTTGAGATCACATATGGCAGCAACTTTGGCTTTAAACACCACTGACAAACAAGAACAAACTGCAAAAATCTCACATTTCTTTCCTCTCCGAGTATCTTCCTCACGAGGAGGAACCACACTTGCACAGCAACGTGCCACCACCTCCTTGACCTTCCTTCTCACTTCGCCTCAATTGCTGACTTATGACACACAAAAAAGATCTTAGTGCAGTCACTGGAGCAGGAGGCAGGCAGGGGACTGCACAGCAAACGCCTGTCAGGCCAGATCTCGTGCGTAACGTAGGTATGAACCTGAAAACGTGCCTCATAGTTTCAAGCAAAGACCCTACTCTGTGGCACTTGGAGAGCGTGCATACACATCTGTGGGAGAAGAGCCTGAAGGACAGGAAGGAGAAGCAGAGCGAAACAAGCTTTCAGGACACAGCCCTGAGTTAAAGAAAAACTCCCAAGAAGTGTCCAACGGTGGAAATCACCCAAAGACAGGGGCACCGGAGCTGGACACCGGCAGCGCAGTGACAAAGGCTGAGCAGCCAGCCTGGTTTTGGCATTTAATGGACCACTCCAGTCCCACAAAAACGGGACTGCACCAGTCTGGAAGAACAGGAAGGTAGGAGACACAAAGGAAAACAGATTTTTATACTCTCCTCAATGATTGCCAAACTGAGAGAGTCTGTGGGCTTTGCTGAGGCAGTGAGAGGCTAGGGAAAGCAGTCCAAATCAGGTGATCGGTAGCTCCAAGAAGCAAGAGGGTTGCAATGCTAAACCAAGGCAGAAGACAACACACAGACTCCAATCTCTAAAACTCACCTGGCAGTGCACTCCTTCCTAATTTGCTTGGCAGCTACCAAATGAAAAGCCTAAAGATTAAGGAAACTGAGAAGCCCAGAGGGTCAGGACCCCAGAGGAAGACAAAGGAAGAGGGGAGAGGAAAAAAATATTGTGGTGTGAAAAGACAGTCAGAGGAAACCACACCAGCAATTGTGTCATCTCGCTTCCAAGCCCAGGAGCAGCAGAGGAAGATACCACAAATGCTGATTTCCAGTTTAAGTTTCTTCATTCTACAGCAAGATGAGATGTGAGTGCTTCACACCATCCTTTTCTTTTCAGTCCCCAAGCATCCCACCCCCTAGCCTCCCCAAGCCTCTCCCTCCAGCCCTGCCCTTCTCCGTTCAGGCGATCTTGGCCAGCCATTTCTCAAGGCCCTCGAAGTCAGCATCTCCCTCCTCTCCCTTGCTGCCCCGAGCACTGCACTCCACAAATTCCACCTTCATGGGGAGCTGGGAGAAGTCGAAGTCCTTGCCCTTCTTCCCCAGCTGGGCAGGGCCCCCAGTGGCTGAGCCATCCAGACTGGTGGGGGCTGCAGAGCGGGTCACTCGTAAGGTGTTGCTGCAGAGAGAGAAGGGAAAGGGTCAAGAGCCAGGGGAACATTACCTACACCCGTGACCAGGAGTTACACGTGGTTTAGCCCACAGTGCTCAGCATCTGCACTGGTTTAACAGGTTAAGTGGGAAGAGAGAGGCAGCCGTGATAGCAGGGATCATGCAGGGGCTCACCCCAATGCCAAATACCTTTGTGGACTGAGAGGGAGATCGAGTGTCCCCATCGCTCCCCTGAGCAAATTCCTGCCCCGCTGCTCCTGTCCTTCAGCTTGCTGCAGCATCTCAACTCCCTGCCACATTCGGGGAGGAAGGACGGACCTCCTTGTCCACACTCACCAAGCATCCAAGGCAGCACAGGGAGACGGAACAGCCACACAGGCACTGCAGCTTGACTGCCTCTGAGGTCCCAAAAAGCGAGGCTAGGGAAGTCAAGGGGCTGCAGCAGGCGCAGATGCAATCTCTCCTGGGATCTTTGACTCATGGCTGGACTGATGTGTCTCCTCCAGAGACAGAGCAGTCTGGCAGTGCCTGCTCTGATCAATCCCAGATACCTCACAGAAAGAACACCACTGCCCAGAGGCTCAGGAACGAGAGCAGACACTTCCTTGGGTTCTCCACACACGGACACCCAAGTACTGCAGCTCAGGGAGAGGATGGCAGCAATCGGCCACCCTGCAGGAGTAACGCTGCCTAACAGGGCACATATAACCTACCTAGAAATCCAACTTCTACACACAGGTAACCAGCAAATGCCCAACATCAGAACCAAGGAATGCTTATTTTCCTGGAGAGCTTGAATATGTGGCAACCAATTCCTCCCTTAAAAACAGGAAGGTCAGGTATCCAGCCTGGAAAAGGCACCAGCACAAATAACCCTGCTGCCGTCTGCTGGCCAAAGAGACTGGCAACAGGATGGCCATATCCCATGAACGTGCATTTGTTCGGAGACCGAAGAGCTACCCACAATCTTCCTCCTACGCCCAAGACCACCCAGCTGCTAACTGCAATCCAGCAAACAGGCTTCACAGGTAAAATAAGCAGTTCTGAGTGTGCATGGGGAAGCAAAACCTCTACTAGATGCTGGTGAAGTCCACCACAGCACAAGAGCTGCACAGGTCTCTCCCAAAGCAGGTTTGGCCCAACTACGAGACTCACAGGCAGAATTTTCACATAGGGAGATTAAATATAGCTTAAAAAACCCCAACTTTTACTTGCCCGATCCCCAGACTCGCCAGCCACTGACGCTGCAGCTCGTTCAGCTGGCAGCTTATAACGTAAGCCACTTTACAAGCCACTTTCTCCTCCTTCCACTTCCTCTTACAACTTAAAATTAACAACAGATCATACATCATTTGTCTTCCCAGGTGAATGCCCTTCCTAGGGGGGACACAGAGCAAACACAAGGGTCCCAAACAGGGCTCCTCCAATGCCCGTTAGCAGACCAGGAAAACCAGACGGTCTCTCCCCAGCTCTCAAGCTTTGCATGCCAAACCCTTTTGCATCAGAGTAGCCGCGCAAAAAAAGTCCACACCAGTAAAACCAAGCAGAGCTACCAAGATCTTCACGCTACCCACAGAAATTCTGACCTTGCGAAGCCAACCCTGCCCGTACTTGAGAGAACAGCGCCCCCGAATGTATCGTTTAGCCTAGAGACGGCAGATTTTAGGAAAGGGATGCTGTTCCTCCAACCCACATCTTCTAGGAGGCAATACACTGTCTGTTCCTACAGCTTTTCTGTGTGCTTTAGCAAGCAGCAATCTTCTCTCATCCTGTTTACACCTACACAGACAGAACAGTCTGGTCTTTTTCTACAGCGAACTCAGACGTGGCTCAAGGGCCACATCACATCACTGAGCACTGAGGTAAGAGAAAGAAAGGAGAAGAGAGACACTCAGAGGGTTTAAGCTCCTGTTTCATACTTACAGCTCCTTCTCCAGCTGCTGTTGAATAAGTTTCGCTGATTTTGCCATGGTGACATCTAGAGAGAAAAGCAAAGGAATTCAGCTCCTTGGCAAGGCCCGCTCATAGTGCGCAGTCCTAAGAGTTACCGCGACAAAGATGGCTGCGTCTGCACTAGGGTAAGGGATGCGAGAGCTTTGGGTTTGCAGGTGTGAATGGGAGCAACCCAAAGGTCTGATAAAACATATGGAATTAATTTCTTCTTGCTGGGCAGTAAGTTGCTTCAGAGGACGGGGTCTGCTGTCCCACCACAAGGCCCAGCACTCCCAGCCATCCTGGCATTACAGAGCTCAACACAGCACTTTTTAACCTATGGCACGTGGAGCCAGGAAGGGCCTGGGCACCTCCCAAAGTAGTGCTCAAAATAACTAAGAAAACCAAATCTGATACTGCCCAAAAGCTTCAGAATGTTATCCAGGGATTCACACTTTTACTGTTAAAGTTGTAGGGATCCGAAAATCTAGTCCTCTCCAATAACTGGATGCTCCTGCTAGTCCAATCAAGAGAAAATATATAAACTTGGCAGCTAAGCAGCTCTGATTTTAACATCGAATCTACCAAGTGTGTACAGACAGCTCATTACACTCAAGTTGATCCTATTTTCCGCTGCCTGCAGATTCAGGAAGACAGCTCAGCACAAGCAGGACGCCACCTGCCTTACTTAAGCCTGTCTAAAAAGCCATAGCGCTCTCAAGTGGTGCTTCTCTGCAAAACTATCAGACATACCTGACCTAGAATTCTTCCACTGGCTGCTAGAAATGCTCCTGCTGGGTAGTCCAAGGTTAAAATTAAGTTCCAGCCTTCATTTTCCTGAAATCCCAACTCCTAAGAAATTCAGCATGCATGGCGTGAACCCCTAGGACTGAATCCAATGTCTAGCCCGTAAGGCAGCACATAATACCTTGCTTATTGCAAGCAATCAGCAGCGCGGGTGCGTTTTTGAGCACGGTGCTATCGACCAGGACCTGGTACAGGAACTCTGCCACATCCTTCACCTCCCGCTGGAAGGCCACACTGTCCACCACAAACACGATGGCTCTGGAGGAAAGAGGGAAGAACACGTGCTGGGCCTAAAGCTCTGCAACCGTCTGCTCCTCCAAGTATCGCAGCCTGGGCTAACATATTTTTTTCCACATCTGATCTCATCCAATCCAAGAGCAGGTTAGCATGTGTTGGCTGAAACACACCCCATGCCCAGTCCAGCAGGAAATCTTTCCCTCTCTGCCCCGGGAAACACCACATGCCCTAACCCTCCCCACCGTGGTTGTTTTACAGATTCACAGATTGGTTGGGGTTGGAAGGACCTCTGGAGATCATCTCATCCAACCCCCTGCCAAAGCAGGATCACCCAGAGCAGGTCGCACAGGATCGCATCCAGGTGGGTTTGGGATCTCTCCAGAGAAGGAGACTCCACAACCTCTCTGGGCAGCCTGTCCCAGGGCTCGGTCACCCGCAGAGGGAAGAAGTTTTTCCTCGTGTTCAGGTGGAACTTCCCGTGTTCCAGTTTGTGCCCGTTGCCCCTGGTCCTGTCACTGGGCACCACTGAGAAGAGTCTGGCCCCTTCCTCTTGACACCCACTCTTTAGACATTCAGATCCCCTCTCAGTCTTCTCTTCTCCAGGCTAACCAGCCCCAGCTCTCTCAGCCTTTCCTCATACCAGAGATGCTCCAGTCCCCTCCTCATCCTCACAGCCCTCCGCTGGACTCTCCCCAGCAGTTCCCTGTCTGTCTGGAACTGGGGAGCCCAGACCTGGACACAAAACTCCAGGTGTGGCCTCACCAGGGCAGAGTAGAGGGGGAGGAGAACCTCCCTCACCCTGCTGGCCACGCTTTTCTTCATGCGCCCCAGGTACCACTGGCCTTCTTGGCCATGAGGGCACACTGCTGGTCACGGAGAGCTTGGTGTCCAGCTTGTTTTGTCTCCTGATGCGCTACAGCGGGAAAGCAGAACAGTAACTAACGCCCGTTACCCCATGGCAGAGCTCTGACTCTCAGGGTACCACCACCCACAGTGACTCCAGCCCAGCTCACAGCATCCCCAGCACCATCATTTGGTTTGTCCCTTTCCAAAACATCACCTACCCCCTCCTCCCCTGCCAATCTCCCCCAAGTTACCTGGCTGCTGCCTTGAACCTTTCCAAGAATTGCAGCCGCAAACTCTCATGGCCTGGAAGGTCGATTAAGGTCACGTTGGCGCTCTGGGAACAGAAGAGAGAAGGTATTAGCAAGACCTAATCTAGGGGTACCTGTCATCACGGACCGGGGAAAACCAATCTGATCGTGGATTCCAGTTAGCCTGGCGTTGGGGTGAGTGAATCCCCATACAGGCAGAATCACGTAACTCTCCCTGAGTTACAGTCTGGGAATAACACAAAAATGCCCTCACAAGAGATTTTTTTAAATTGAAAGCTACAAACATTTCCCTTTCCACCAGCTGCCAGCCAGAGAAAGCAGCGACATTAAAGATAACGCATGCCCCTCACACGCTCCTCATTGAGATGTGGCCAAGCAGGGCCACGTCACCGTTCTCAAGATAATGCTCCTTGTTCTCAAGAGGGGAGAGAACACCACACAAGGCTTTGTGAGTAGATACTCACTGCTCTTGGATTTTAACGGAAACCTTGTCCACAATTTAAAAAATAGAAAAGCAACAGTTGGCATTGCAGCATTCCAGCACCTCTCCCCCTCCAAACACCTCCTGTCTGCTCAATCCTAGGGACACAAATATTAAACAAAAGCCCTGCACTTCCCTTTACTAAGTTTTTAACCTCTTCACCACTGTTACTGAAGCTCGCCATAGAGAATCCACAAAAACATCCTCTACTTTTACAATTCACCAGCACGTAACGAGCTGCCAGCTCGCTGCTTTCACTGCCACATGGGCACCCAGCAAGAGAAAGAAACTCTTCCGGAACTAGAGAGATCACCATATACTGAAAATAACTAGCTCTGTGGCAGCCCAGGACCTCAAAGTATCCAAAACCCTTTTTGAGATCACACAAAGTTCAGCTGGACACTCTTTTTAAGCCTGCTAAGGCTTTTAAATTCAGATTTTCTTGGGCAATTGCTGCCAAGCAAATAAATCAAACACAACAGAATGACGTTCCCTCACAAATCTCCCTCCAGCTCTGAACCGCACCGCCGTCCCCGCAGTGCTGTCTTTTACTCCACTCGTAAAAGCAGTTCCTCTTCCTCTCCTACAGAAAAAACCACCACGCACTACCCGCCTTTCAAAACCCGACACAAAGACGTGGTTTTCAGCCAAAAAGGTTTCCAAATCTGACAAGCAAAGAAAAAAGAACCTGCACAGACGAGAAGCCTCTAACACTTCCCAGTACTTTCCTACCTTCTCAGTGTGCGCTGCCTAGAAAAATCCAGTCCTACGCTCGGGCCAAACTGGGGACTGATTTCAAGCTGGGAGGACTGAGCAGCACAAAAAGCATCAAGCACAGGGAGCAGAAAAACAAAGGCAGCAGCTGGCTGCAGCAACCACACACAAGTTACAGCCAAAAACCCGCCCGCTCACCTTGTCACTGCTGACTCTGTAAACCGCGGAGCTGTCGGTTATAGAAGTCTGGGTATCGCGGTATCTGCCTGTCAACAGCTGTGGGGGAAAAAAAGGTCATTTTCAGAAAAAGGAGGCTGGAGGAGCACTGGCATCACATTTCATCCCCTCAGAAACCGGAATGATATGTAAGGGGTAACAGACCTCAAATATCCAATTCCAACTTTGACATGCACAAAACGATTTCATTGTTTTCCCCAAAAAATTTTGAAAAAGCACTTATTAAGAGAAAAAAAAAATATATACTGAATCTCCACGTCGCTAAAAACAAGAAGGAAGACAGCATGCCTGCAAATCCTTCAAAGCCCCTTCACC